CCCGGCTTTGCTCCAGGTGTCCCTGGTCTGCTGGAGATGGTCCCCAGCAGACCAGGGGCACCCGGAGCAGCTTTTCTCACCCCGGAGGTCGAGGTGGCGGGACTGCTGCGCTCTGGGCGGTCCCGCTGCCTGTGAGCTCCGGGGCGAGAAAGCCCTGTTCCTAAGTGCGGATCCGACATAAGTCGGATCCGCGTAACTCGGGGACTGCCTGTACTTGATTAGTTAATAAGGGGGCGCTTGCTATCCTGCTGTGCCTCTCCCTTTGAAATATACAAGAGTGGCCTGTGGCTTTTGTACATTTAAAAAGGGAGAGGTGCAGCAGCAGGGACACCTCTGCCCCCCCGAACATGGTGCTGGGGGAACCAGCTTTTAAGTCAGCTCCCCCTAGCACCAGATCCTGCTCCCCTGGCCCTTGCTGCCTCTCTCTGATAGAGGCAGCAAGAAGGGGGAAGCAACTAGTCAAGTGACTATCGACTATTCGATACACTTACGCTTATGGGACAGTCAACTAGTTGCTTACAGCCCTAGCAGGTAGTACCATTTCCAGTAAGAAAACTATAAGCTAATACAAGTTGTAGCCTTCACACCGCACTTACTGCACACACTGAGCTTTTTTTTTTTTTTTTTTTTTTGCAAGTTATACGTTAGACTAACAACAAATTAAACACCGAAGAAAGCATTTGATGAAATGCTACCTTTAGTGGATCGATTATAATGTTATGTTGCATATTTAAGAAGTACACTGCATAAATCTAGACACAATATTTTGAGGATATGCACAAGTGAGTACAGGCAGTCCCCGGGTTACATGGATCCGACTTACATCGGATCCCTACTTACAAATGGGGTGAGGCAACGCCGCACTAGCTGCTTTCCGCCAGCAGACCAGGGAGACGCGAAGCTAGCGCTCCCCCTCCCCCAGCAGACCAGAGAGATGCGGAGCGGCTTTTCTCAGCAGAGGGAAGTGAGGTGTGGGAGAATAAAACTGAGCTCTGGAGAAATGTTTGGCTAGAGTTTCCCCTACAATATGTACCAGTTCCGACTTACATACAAATTCAACTTAAGAACAAAGCTACAGTCCCTATCTTGTACGTAACCCGGGGACTGCCTGTATTTCATTTTTCTTGTAAAGACTCATTAATTAAATGGCAAAACCAATAACCAGGTCCTGAGGATTAAATGCACCATCAAACCTGACAGCATACATTGCTCCAAGCTACCGAAGTTTAAAAAAAAAAGTTAGTATGATTTTAAATAAGATTCCTTCGAATCCTTGAGACTTACTTTCCAGAACTGGTCCCCTTCATATGATCTGTATAGATATAAATATCTGGTATAAACTTATTTAGGATGCTTCTTGCAGAATCCACAATTCTGTTTGCTATCTGTGGTGACACTCTGACAGAATACCTATGTTAGGAAGTCAAGGAATTTATTATGATAGGAAGGTACTTTAAACTAGAAAGATAGCTAGTACACAAAGAGATTTCAATACATTCTTTTGGATATTTGGTTTTGCAATCTATGTCCACTCATGGACATCAGCCCATCTTTCAACCTGAATATATACTTTTCTACAGTTGCATGAATTCTTATTGCTTTCTACACATTTTTTCATCATTATCTAATTTCAACAGTGAAGCCTATGCCAAACACCACCCTATCTATTACACACTTGTGTGCTGTGCAGTACAAACTGAGCTTAAATTTAGGCTCTTACCTTACATACATTTAGGATAATTTACCATAAAAAGGAGCCTAACAGTTTACCCTACAATAAACCTATCCAGGATTTTCTTTTAAATACATCTAATAATGTGATTTTGGGGGAGGGGGGGGAGAGTATTGCTACATGTCACACAGATGTAGAACTGGAAAAGACCACGAGAGGTCATCTGGTCCAGCCTCCCAAGCTGAAGCAGGAGTAAGTGATGGGAAAGCACTTCTATTTTCCTTGCTACTTAAGTAATTCTGTTTAAAAAACCCTCTCACCTGTTATTGTATTTAATTGTATTTCTGTTGCTATTTGGATAAGGCCTTCACAGTGGTGTGCTGCGGTCCAAGCACAACCATATGCATTTATATTACTATGGTGGATGTTGAACATCACAATAAATTGCAATCTGCATAAGCTTAATGAAAAAAAAAAAAAAAAAACCACCACACAGGAAAAAGATACGCTGTTCCTCTGATCCGTTTGATTTTGCCCGGGTCTGTGAACTGAATGGGTCGCAAGACTTTCCTAACTGGACAGGCAAATATCACCTCCCCACCTCCTTTTGGAGGCATTCCTCTTCTAGTGATCTGGACACCAGAGTTTAAAAGAGAGAAAATAGGTTAGCAAACAATGGACGAATACATCTATACATTCACACTGATGGCTTTTATTCCACTTATACTATACTAGAACATTAACAGTAGAGGCCAATGTCATGTGAATACAGGACAGTCAACGCTAACACCCAAGGCAATGCTAGAGCTAATTTACACCAAGAGATAAAGATAATTTTCTAGCTCATTTAAAAAGGGATGGGCAATGCCTGCCACTGAAGATTAGGTGAAAGGAGCAATAAAAGCAGATCTGTGCTTTGACACTACAAAATGACTTGCTTCTGAAGGAATGTAATGAAGCGTCTCAGGGTGCGTCTACACTGCAGGGCTTAATTCAAAATAAGCTACGCAAATTGAGCTACATCAATTACATCTCTTATTTCGAAATAAGCTATTTCGAACTAAGGAGCATCCACACAGCACTTATGAAATAGAGCACTCTTCTTCCAACTTCCCTATTTCTCATACAATGAAGGTTATAGGAGTCGGAGTAAGGAGTCCTCCAGTTGACAGTATTTCGACACTACTTTGAAATAACGTCCTGCTGCTTAGATGCGGAATAAGTTATTTCAGAAAAGTGCTAGTTATTTCGAAATACTGTTGCAGTGTAGCCATACCCTCAGTTGCTTAGCATGCAAAGGACTAAATCAAGTCCCCAATCCATCGTCATAAAACAAAGCAACAAGGATACAGATGCTTCAGCCTGTTAGAAACAGCAAATATTTTAAATAACTAACCCTCATGCATGCCAAGTTTATTTTATTTGTTTATATATAAAGGAGAATGTTTGTATGTCTGTGTGCTAATAACTTGGGCACTAGAAGAGCTACCACAACCAAACTTTGCATGGGGTAACCTTTCCTCCAGGAGAAGGTTTTAAGGTACTTTTGGCAGTGCGGGGAGAAGCAGCTTCCTGGAGGAAGCAGCAGGGAGTGTCACTTACTAAGGCCAGCGGTGGAGGCGCGAGGCGAGGGGCGGCGCTCCTAGCGGCAGCTGCCCCACTTGCCTCTACCAGGCCATTCCACTGCACAGGCACGTCCGGGGCCAGCTGCCCCACTCTCCTCTACCAGGCTGTTCCACTGCACTGGCAAGTCAGGGACAGGGGAGCCCTCTCCTCCCTCCCGCCCATGATGTCACTCGGCCTAGGCCCCTCCCCTCCAGTGGCGGCTGAGGGTTGCCGAGCAGTGGGCTGGAGCTCATGGCCATCACTAGGGGGCGGTTGCGGGTGCAGTGGGGAGGCGGCGGCAGTGGCGGTGCTGGGAGCGGCCCGGGGTCTGGTGCAGCTTCCTGGTTGCATGGTGGGGAGCCCGGCTCCTGCTCGCCTATTGACTAATTAATCGAACAATCAATGAGTCAATTACTTGAAATTTAACATCCCTATTATGAACTGGGTGTAATTTGTGGAAGTAACGTATATCCTAAATTAAAACAAACAAACAAACATAGTAAGAGGGCCAAGAAGGTGTCACCGTGGCCAGACTACACAAGAAACATTGGGGAGGAGGGGGGAGGGAAGCATCCTTTAAAAGGAAAATAAAAAGGAGCATAAATTCTGTGAAGTATAAATATAATTAGGCAAGCCACACAATAATGTGAAGAGCTACTAGCAAAAGTAACACACTGTGTGTGTGTGTGTATACACACACACACACACACACACACACACACACACACACACACACACACACACACACACTTAAAAAAAAAGGTCAGCCCAGTCAGACACTCCTACCTGGCAGGAAAAAGTGCAGAAGACTTTTTGTTTTGTCTAGCCTTTTTTTTTTTTTTGAGGGTTAGCTTTATAGGGACCACAATTTCTTCTCCATACCCCACCCTTAGCCTTAGAGCCAGATTTTTGGATTTGTTAAAGGTACAATAAAGCCTCCTCAAACTAGAGGCAGCTCTGAATTTGGATAAGACAGTAGATTCTACGGTTGGCCGTCTGCACTAGTGGAAAGGGACAGGGCAGGGAAGAGAGAAGATCTCCCTGAATGACTGAATGGGAGGAAACGATGCTGAGCTTTTTTGGGGAGGCAGGAGAACATGAAGCAGAAGGAGAAAGACTCCAGGCTTGCCCTCTCCAATCTCTCCCACTCGATAATCTGGGCATTTCTCCACCACTGTGCACTGATGAGTCTGGTTTGCTAATGCCCTAAAAGGTTAACGAGATGGGCAAACTATTTAGTAACACATGTAATAAAAACCTAGTGATGATAGTACATCTCCTAAAGACAGTAGAAGGCAGGAAGCATATAGCTCTGTGAGAACCAGGGCAAAAATATCACTTTAGTCAATGCTAAATGAAAGTAATTAAAAATTCTTACCTTCAGTTCAAAACTTTCACTGTCGATTCCAAATTTCTTCAGCAAGGGCAGAGCTGTTGCCTTAAGTACATCCACCTAGAATAAATCACAAGAAGCCAACCTCTTTACTACCATGGCAATATTTATGTTAAAGGACAGTTAAAGAACCAAGTAAAGGTTTTTAAAGGATGGTCAATTATGAGTAGTCTAAGAAGAATGGGTTCTCCAGTCTAAACAATGAGGAATTATTATTTCTTTAGTGAATCTAGCTTAGTTTGCATGCTTTGCATTAAACTCCTTAGTCATCTGCTTTGTTCTGTTTGTTACCTTTTTAACCATTTAAAAATACACCTTTTTGTAGTTAAATGTATAATAGTATAACCCAGTTTTGTAATTCCTAACAGGGAGGAGGAGGAAGCTGTGCATACCTTTCTCCACACTGAGGAAGAAGGCGAATTTCATATAATTTGGTTCGTACCCCAGGGGATGTGAATTCCTGGGGCTGTGGCATGTCCCTTAAATTGAGCCTTCCCAGAGCTGATCTCAGGCTTTGTCTGCACTTAACAGTTTAAAGCTCAGCCATGGCCATACTTTAAAGTGACTGTGCAGCCGTGCTCTATGTTGCCTGGTTGACATTGGTGCTTTACAGTGCTGCAACTGGCTGTGCTCAGGGGAGGAGGTGTTTTTTCACACCCCCGGGCCAGAAAGTTGCAGTGCTGTGATGTGCCAGTTTAGAACTGGCCTCAGTGTCTGTTCATTCTGTAGCTGGGTGCAGCCCTACCTGCGTGTTGCTGCAGGAGGCTTAAGAGCCTGGCTCAGCAAGACAGGGTTAAAGGGTGCCCAGGATGGCAGAAAAGGGGGGGCTCATTTGTATCTTCAGCATATCAGGTGGTCTCCCGGGTGGCATCCATCACACATACACATGAGTCAACAACTCTGCCAACAAGTTTTGAAAGTTATCTTAAAATCCTGGCACTTTATCTGGGTTACTCAATGTTTTTCTCTCTAGAAAACATTCTGGTTCTTGGAAAAAGAACAGCCCTACTATGCAAGTTAGAAACCCTCTTTTGCAACCCACTGGGTTGAAATACTCCTGAGAAGCCATCTATGGGGGAAAGCATATTATACCACAACACTGGACCAGCTCCACTTAAAATCCAAGTTTTACTTCAACAACTACAAGATGTATTGTAATACTGTAGTCCCCAAACAAGTTCAAGATAGTACTGGGCACTGTACGGATACATAAGACTGTCCTTCTCCCAAATAGCTCACAATCTAAACAGATAAGTGAGGGAGTCTGAAGAATAATTATTATCCCCATGATGCAGAGAAATTAAGGGTTTGCCCAAGGTCACACAGGTCTGAGCAAAGATGAGAACTGACCCTGGATCTCTTAGAGCCCTGTCTAGTGCCTTAGCTACAAGCTCCCTTGGATAGCAGCTGTTCCCTCATCAGAGCCTTAGCTGTAAACAACCACAAACTGCCAGGCTCAATCAAGGTTGGGCTGTCATAACAAAACTCAGTGCTGAGTTATAAAGATGCTGCCAGGCTTAATAGCTCTGATGACTGGTTGGTTACCCTAAGGATGTTAAGAAGTAGGTATTTGGCTAACTGTGTAGTCAATACAATTTGTATTGACTACGTTCGTCGATAAGGAGAGGCGCTCTGCAGAGCTGCAGCAGAGGTAGTGGGGACCACAGTGGGCTTTTACTACTTTTAAAATGCACAGCCGCAGTGGGAGTAGGTCTGGGACCTGGCATAAACCAGGACCGAGCAGTCCCGGATCACAGCGCCTCTGCCTCCGCTTCCTCTCCCCCTGCACTGAGGAGACGGTGCTGGGGGAACTGGCTTTTAATCTGGCTCCCCCCAGCACTAGCTCCCTGCCCCTTACTGCCTAGGCCTATCGGGTAGTCGACTAATCGACTGCTCTTTTGCATCCCTTGGGTACACTTAAAATTGGTTAGTGTGGTGAGGAAATGTTTCCTCCTTTCCCCTTTTATTGTATTAAAAAACAAAATCATTTTAAAAAAAAAAGTTATTGGCTTGCCAAGAAACATTTTAAAAGCCACAATTTTAATGAGGCCACAACTAAAATGAACCCCAGCAATAGGTAATCCTCCTTCTCCTAGACAGCCATTAGTTAAAACTTTCCTTAACACAGCGCCTATTCCTGTTAACACAGATAACGCTGTCACATTGGCAGAAAGTCAGATTGGCTCCAGCAGCAATAGGAAAACGGGATTTAGAAAACAGAAAAGGACAAAAAGTCAGCAGGGAAAAGTTGTGTTTTCATGTTTTCAAGAGGGGAGTCCAAACAGCTGTTGAATTTAAGCCGATTAATGGATGGGTTTGTTTTTTTAATTGCTCCCCAGCTAGAACTCTCTCTCAACTTCATGCCAGCGTGAATAAGATTTCAATTACAAAGTCCTGGAACTCAGATCTTACGTTAGCACTCAAGAGCCCAGATGAGGTTAAAGAATTGTTATGGGCTAGATATTTTTAAACCAGATTACAGCAGCCATGGCTGCATTTGCTGCATGTCAGGATAATCTCAATCTGTTTTCCCCTTGTTTGCATGGTATCCTAGTGAGAATCTCCTCCGCTTCATAAAGAGGCACACTGCCCACCTGAATAAGACAGAGAGACAGGGGTTTTTGAATAGTCTGAAGCTGTCCCAAATCTAGATCTGAGTTTGGCAAATCTCCCAAGTCAGGAAGGGGCAGGCCTAGACAGATCACCATGTAAATTCCAGAGTACTGCAGGGCACTGTCTTGGTGACCCAAAAGAATGGCAGAATTTCTCTTCCCAGCCACTCGCGTCACTTCTCTATGAATGCCCCAGCATGGCAGTAAGGGCACCCTGCAGCAGCTAGGCATGCTGTCTTTCTGGCAACATGTAAAACTGAAGTACCAAAATCTCAGTCACTGAAATCATGTCACTTGTAACAGTGGGAGTGTCAACAGCTGGGCTCGGCATACATCCAGGCTGGAACATTTTCCCTGCTGTTCAATTGCTCCTGTTGTATCCTCTGCTTCCTGCCAGTGGTTACATTGCATGGCTGCCTGCTGTTAAACAGCTGTTTGCTTCCCCCAATGGCAGGTGATGGGTATATTTGTGCACAGTCAAGAAGACGCTTCTGCATCCAAAGCACTATGGGCCCGATCCACAGCCTAGAGAAGCCTTTCCACAAGTCCTCCATTTGTGGAAGGCATCACCTTTTCATCCATCTGCATCACTAGTAGCCCCCACTGAGAGAGGCAGGGGTTTCTGCTAGAGCCCTTCTCCCCTTCCTTAGGGAAGACTTATTGGAGATGGTGAGGTAGGTACCCTTCCTTGGAGGGGGATAAGAAGCCAGGCATCTCCTCCTCCTCTCCTCCTTCATAGGCCAAGGGAGGAAACAGCGAAAGTTCAGCAAGAGGAGCATGGAGTCAGCCATGGAAGGTGTCTGAAAGGTATCAGGAGCAGGAGTGCACACAGCCTGGGCCTGCCAATGGGAAGATAACAAGGGGCAGGGAGGGAACAAGCCTGGCTCTGTAGAGATCAACCAAATAATCTTCATTGTCCTTGCTCACCAGCCCAGGGTAGAACTCTGAAGGAATCAGCAGGGCCTGCTGCAACTTCCCCTCCCGCCCACCTGCTCTGCAGCAGAACTGAGGCAGACCGAGCGTGCTTTCCCCACAGCCGCAGCTGCACTCTGTGACCTTTCGTTAATGGTCCCAGGTTTTTCCCCGGCTGCTGCAACAGTTGGGGGCAAGGAGTCTGGGGGGCTGCTTTTCACAATGAAAGCTTAGATCCCGCAGGTGAAGACAAGACTGGCCCTGCTCACCAGTGGATGCTCCCCCCTCAATTCAAGCCGGCTGACCCTACTGTAAACCTGGTAATGACAGTTACAATGCAAGTGCTATCCACAGAGGTGGCTGTCTGTCTTGTCCTGATATTCAGCTCTTAGGGAGAGATTCTCTTCTCGTGCTAATTACAGTGGGGAAAAGCATCCCCTTTTAAAATAAATTAATTCCAAAATGGTGTTCTATTTTGTCCATCTGTGTATATGGCTCCAAGACCTGGTCTATTTACTAAAAAGAGCAAATTAACATTAACATTTTTTGGACAAATGTCCACTATACCTTTTCTATGCATAGCTCCAGGGCACCATCTGCTTATAAAATAATCAAACCCCACATCCATTTAAGACGCACTATATTTACCAACAGGGATCCCTATTCAGGACAGAGTTGAAGCATGTGTTTAATCCGTAGTCCATACACACAACTGCATTAATTTGACAAGAGGTATATTTTTATATAATTTTCATGAAAACAAAGTAAAAAACGCTGCATAAATAACTTTAAACCTGGCTTATGCCAGCAAAAGTGCTCACGCAGGGGCTTTGCACAGATTTAACTAGCACTTGATTTTTCGATCAATGTTAGTTGAACTGGTGTAATGTCTGCATATAGACAAGATCTAAGGCCTGCCTCAACACATATCAGTTTTTCTGAATGAAGCCTAAATGTTTAGATGTGTGTCAAAGCTGAATTAAAATCAACATTTAAGCCTGGGTGCTTTTGTCCATTCTACAAGGAAGACTTTCTTCACCGCAGTCATGGCGAGACAGTCAATTTAAAATAAAAATGCCTTTTTTTAAAAACTTTTTTTTTTAAACTTTGCGGTTCAGTGAATATCTAAAATAGCAGCAAGTGAAAGACAGGAATTTTTTTTTCCAATTTCATTCTGTGCCATTTGACAGCCTTTTATGTAAAGTTCTTTGGAAATTCTCTGATGGAATGTTTTTCTGTCCAAGAATGCCAAATTGTCAAAATTAAAATGTTTTGGGAGACTGTGATTTTGCTGGTTACAGTGTTCCAGGTTTCCTAGCAGCTCACCCACCTGGTAGCAATTACCTCTTTCCACATAGCTCTAATACCCAGTTTCAGTTTCCCCTCCCATTTGTGTGGATGTTTACAAAGGAACAGTGCAAAGAAAACATTTTTTGTAACTACAGTTGCTTGTTGTTTTAAACCATAAGCACTGGCTGGGAGACAGAAAGGCCAGTCTAACATCTGTAGCTGTACTCAGTGCACTTTTTTGAACTGGTTAGATTTCCAGCTGAAAGGCCCTTTAATCTAATCACAGAAAGGACAGCAGCGAAAGTAAACACCAGTGCTCTTTCAGCCAATAACTTTGAAACGGACATCACCTTTGCATTTTAACTCACATCTTCCTCACTCCTCTTCTATGCTAAGGCTGTGTCTACACTAGGGTTTTTGTGCAAACACCCGCGGAGCATCCACACCTCAAGCGCTTTTTTGCACAATAAAATTTACAGTAGAACGGCAGAACAGAGGGCTTTTTGCAGTATAGGTATACCTCTTTCTATGAGGAATAACTCCTTTTCGCGCAAGAGTTCTTGCACAAAAAGGTGCGTGTGGGCTCTCAACAAGGGTTTCTTGCACAAAAAGAGCCCAGCAGAAAAAGCACAGGTGCTCTGATGGCCATTCTGTTAATGGCAATCACAGCTTTCTTGCACAAGAACGTCCATGCAGCGTGGACGCTCTCTTGCGCAAAAGCTCATCACTTTTGCAATGCACTTTTGTAGCGTGGACACGCTTTTGTGTAAGAAGTTTTTGCGGAAGCTATCTTCTGCTAAAAGCTTCTTGCACAAAAAGCCTGCAGTATAAACGTAGCCTAAGACTTTAGATGGAGAATTAAGCTGTCATTAATGCAATTCATTGCAACTGTGGTGAATTTCATATGGTCATTTAAACTTGTGTTCTTATTAGCTTCTCTCTCAACAATCAGGCTGTTTCCTTTCTGCAAATAGGGTAAGACAGCTAAGTAAATTATGTACAATACATTTGCTACTGTAATTGAATTACTGTTGCATGACCTTTGTTTCAGATGAACTTCAGGCTTCATTTTAGCATCCGTATAAATCTGCCCAATGCATGCAATAAAAAGCACTCCTACTTCACAGAAACTGCCTTTCAAAGTTTCAGACATAATTTTCTCTTTTTATAGTACTCTGAAGGGGAAAAAAAAAAAATCAACCTCTCTCATCCTTATGATTAGGAAAAGCAAACTTAGTGGAGGAGCAAATGGCAGGGCCCAACGTGAAGCCTGGAAAGACTAACCAGGAAAGGATGAGGAGCAGAAGCAGCACAGAACTGGAGTCAGGAACTGTGGGTTAGAAGCTAGAGATGGGACCAGGATACACGGTGGAGGGGGGAGGTGCAGAGAAAGGGTGGGATGGAAGGTGCCAAAGCTGCAGCCATGTGAAGGGAGCCGTGTGCGCAGAAGCAGAATGAAATAGTTTTTGGATACTTTGGCATCAGATGTTCTGTTAATGGCTAACCTTTCTGGCTTGGTCTGACTATCTTTCACTTTCTCTATTTTTTGCCTTCTGCTGTATTTTGGTCTCTCTCTGTCTTTCAGTGGTCTTTCGCTCCATTTTATGTTGGTCTGCAGTGTTGCCTTCTCACCCACCAACCCTTATTTCTTGGTGTTGTGGTCTCTCCCTTCTTGCTCATCTTCTGTGATGTTCCCTTGTCCGTGTTTGCTCCACTTCCCTGTGTTGCATTATCCTATCCCTCTTGGTTTCTCCTTGCGTTTCTTTCTAACTCAAAGGCAGTGAGACACCACATGCGATTTTCATAAGTGCCGTGGTGCCTAGCTGCATATTACAAATCCGGCCCTATGCTATTGGGGCCACAATCCCATGCTCAGAGCAACCCTGTGGATTCTCCAGCTTCCCTGTTCTGTGTACTCCCCTTGAAGCGCTAGTTCTGGAGACTGTGAAAGAAACACAGGACACCAGGTTTTCACCTGTACTACAACTCTTATGTTCTTGGAAATAGCTGTTGAGACTCGCTAGGGTTTGAAAGAACTGAGGAATGGGGGAAAGACTTATTTTGATTTAAGAGACTATCTGAAATATGTGGTGGCTTACATAAACCAAACCCCAAACAAGATGGGGGAGAAGGAGATAGTGGACTTGCAAATGACGGTGTGGTTTCTGAAAAGCTCTCCCCCCCCACCCCAAGAAGGAAAACTAGGGCAGTGGCAGGTTATGCTGGATCAGTAAGCCCCTGGTATAGAGCTAAAAAGTATCTTCCCCTCTCTAGCTTCCATGATCCCAAATTGTTGTGTGCCAATGTTGAAGGAGAGCACATGACTGAAATGTGGGGTGTGTTTTGTGATTTACCTGATTTATCAGCCCAAGGTATAATGTAGCTCCAAGCATATAGAATCCTACTTAAAAATACAATGGGGGGTTTTCATGGTTGGGGTGGGAAGAAGAAAGAGCTGCCAGGGCACTTAATGAAGTTTTGTTACTTACTGAAGGGTCTACTTGGTCATTGGTTACTCCTCTGAGGACGATTCTTAATGGATGTTTCATGAAAGGCGCCAAGCAGAGCAGACTTTCCAAATAATAGCCAATACTACGGTGAGGGCTGCAGTCATGTTCCAACACGCCCCCGTACAGAAGGCCAGGCTGATAATACAGGGTGGTACCTTTTGAGAGCGAAGAAAAACAAGTGTCATTACCACACTGGAATCTAAGGAAGTTAAATGCTCTTCTCTGCCATGACAACAGCAGTAGAAGCACGTCGAACTGGAGCAGACAGCTCTTCCAAGGCACTCCTCCCCATTAGGGATGTAAAATGTCAATTCATTGGCTAATTAAATAGTTGATGCAATTTGCATCAAGTATTCGATTAGTCGATAAGGACGCCTCCGCCTCTGAATCTCATCTCAACTCAAAGGCAAAAGTGCTGCAGGGAGTCGGGGGTCAGCTAGAGTCCCCAGCTGGCCCCAGGCTGCACGTGGTGTTTCAAAGCGACAGTCCCCTGGCTCCACATGGTGCTGCCACTTCGAAGCATCCCCTCCTTTCCCACCCCCCACCTTACTGCCTCGTTCTGATAGAGTCAGCAAGAGGGGGGCAAGCGACTAGCCGACTAGCGTGTTGACTGTCCAATAAGCATTTGCTTATCAGATAGTTGACTAGTTGCATCCCTACTTCCAATCCTAGTTACCTCAGCACCTCACTCTGCAGTTCCTGGCTCACCAGGCCTGAGGAGCAGGAGGGCCAGATTTTAACATCATGTATCATGTTTCACCCATAAATCAGGGGAATCTATCAGTTACCACCATCAAGGCCAATGAACAGCTACACTAGCAACTTTCACTGGCCCAGTGAGAAAGGGCAACCTCAGCACGGAGTTCATGCTGGCAGATCAGCTGCCTTACTGATTCTGTGCAGTCTTTCCATAAGCACCATTCACAATGAAGCCAATGGGGACTAGGGTGGCAAGACTGAAGAGGAATCTAGTAGTCGCCCCCAGAAAAACAAGGAGAGCGCAAAGGAATACGTTGTTTGAAACATAAAATCAACCGAGTGGCGCTCATACTGGGCATACGGTCAGTACTAACTCAGGGCTTCCCTGCATTAGAGATTTTTGTACATGTGCACATGAATCAACGTAGATGCCCTACACTGGTGCTATATGGGGCTGACACTGGGGGAAGAGGAAACTGTACTGTAGCCTTTATTTTTAAAGTTAATTTTAGTGATGTATTAAAAAGTGGTTAATTAGGTAACCATGTAATTGCTGAAGATCTTAGCAATTACATGCTGAGGGCTCTCCAGTATATGCTGCAGGAGTGGGGCCAGCAGCCAGAGCATGCCAGGAGCTGGCTTCCGGGTGCTCGTTCCACCCCCAGGGAGCCAGCTGCACTGTGGGCTCTGCAGTATAAGGATTATACTGCAGGATCCACAACACAAGACAGCAGCCAGCTCTCCATGAGTCATTGCGCACCAGAAGTCAGCTCCCGATGCACACTGGTTCCTACCTGCTGCCCTGATTCTGGAAGAGCTATCTGCTGCCCCACATTGCTGCCTCTGCTACACTGTGGGGTGGCAGCCGGCTCTCGGCACACCCCAGTTCCTGCCTGCAGCCCTGCAAGCTCTGATACAGAGCCTGTGGTGCAGGGTGGCTTCTGGCTCCCCAAGAGTGGGGCTGGCCTGTAACCATTAGAGTAACGAATAAGTCATGCTTATTGGTTAACCGTTTAAACAATTATACTATTACATCCCTATGTATTATACCATCCAGGGTTCAGCTCTAGTGGCTACAGTACTGACTGGAGTTCAACCGAATAATCTCATCTCAACTAAAAGCACTGGCAACAGCGCTTATATAGCTATGCTGATGTAACTACAACTGTGCAGGAACTCCTAATGGAGGCAACCCCTCAGCTGGTCCACCACCACCTCGTGAATCACTGCCGCTACTTCAAGTCATGACACAAACCAACAATTCCCCTCACAGAAAATTCCAAGTTACAACTGATTGATATTTCTCTGAGCCACAGCATTATGGCAGAAAGCAAACTTAATGGAACATGAATCACTGTTTTAGAATTTCCTGGCTTTGGCTGGTTCTGACACATACTTGGTCCACTGGAAAAAGACCACCATCTAACCTGTCTACCTCCATTATATAGATCCCTTCCCACAACTCCAAGTGACATACCATAGAAGAAAGGAACAAAGAAAAATACAGTTACCTGTTTGGTTTATCTCAATCCTAGAGCCATTGGTCACTTTGTCAATCAGTCGTATAAAACTTGCTTCAAAGTCTGTTGGAGATGAAAAAGGATTAATTTTAAAATATTTCCTTTGGGAAGTTATTCCTGGAGAGGTATTCAACCTTCACGAGAAACATGTCAATAAAGCTTTCTCTCAAAACTCCTGGGAGGAGGAAGGTAGCCAGCAATGTTCTCTCCAATCTTTTTTCATTCAAGTATGGACTTTTTCATCCATGTGCAGAATAATTGTTATGTGCACCACTCATAGAAACAAAAATTTACCTGTTGGCACTCTGGTTATCATCTGGGCAACATTAAAATCTCTCCTGAGGGGTCACACAAGCGCCCAGCTTACTCAGAGTTGCCAGCCTGGCTTACCAAGGGGTCACACAAGCGCCCAGCTTACTCTGGTAAGCCAGGCTGGCAACTCTTTCTCCCAATTTTAGATATGGGGAAAGCGAGACACAGAAAGGCTGAGCTACTTATCCAAAGACATTGAGGAAGTCAGCATCAGTATTGGAATTAGTACCCAAAAGTTCTTTGCTACTTGGAATTAGGAACCTCCTCTTGCTTTCTGCACATGGACACCAGTTAAAGAAATATTCCTGATATGTTTATCTTATCCAACAGCTCAGCTATTGTTCCAGTAATGGCAGAATTTTGAATTTACACAGAAGTATTAGGATTCCATGAAAGAACCATAACTCAAGACACTGGAAAATGCTGAGGGCAAAAAGAAAAGAGTACCTGTGTCCATGTGAATGAGTGGGAAAGGGGAGTCTAGGAAGCTGAGCTGAGAGTGCTGCTTTTCTATGCTAATGATTTCACTGTTACCTTGTCCTCCTCCAACCCTTCATCTCCCTTGTCATTTCCCAATGTATACTTTGATTGCAAGCTGCTTGGGGTAATGGCCATCTCATACACGTACAACATCTAACACCATGGGATCTTGACCAGGGCATTTCCCCCTGAAATCATAAATTCTCCTTTAAAAAGATTTTCAAACCTTCTATTACAGAGGATGACATAAAAATGCAAAGTGCCACTGCTAAATAGCTGTCAGACACCATCAACATTCATGTCTGGAAAGTTTGTGTTTTTTTAAAATCTGCTGTTTCTACAAACACCTGAAGTGACAATAATAGGGAAAAATATTTCCCCATCTCCTTCCCAGTTGTTTACTCTGTACATTATAGCACTTCACAAATTTAGTTGCTCAATTTCCCATTTGTGGGCTCTCAAACAGTAACAAGGAAGAAATAAATCTTGTTTTGTTTTAAAGCAAATATAACCAATCTGCCCCATATGAAGGAAGACTCCGTAGCAAGTGCAGAACCTGGAACTATACTGAATTTAAATTCCAGCCAGTTTTAAAGAGTAAAAGCATCCTTCTCATTGTGAACAGGCTGCAGAACACAAGCTAGTAAGTCATTAAATTAAGATGTCTTATATGCTGGAAAATATGGTGACTTTTTATGCTAAAAAACATCCCCCAAAAATCGGGGGTCGTCTTATACGCCGGGTATACAGGCAGTCCCCGACTTGCAGGTAGGAACGGGGCTTTTCTCGCCCCGGAGTACATGGGCGGCGGGACTGCGAGGTCCCGCAGTCTGCGTCCTCCGGGACGAGAAAAGCCCCGTTCCTACCTGCAAGTCGGGGACTGCCTGTATACCCGGCGTATAAGACGACCCCCTAATTTTTTAGTTAAAAGATAGGTTTTCGTCTTATACTCGCCGTATAAGACTACCCCCCCTTAAGAGGCCAACCGGCAGCGCCCCTCCGCCTCCCCGGCTTTGCTCCCGGTGTCCCTGGTCTGCTGGAGACGGTCCCCAGCAGACCAGAGGCACCGGGAGCAAAGCCGGGGAGGCGGAGGGGCGCTGCCGGTTGGCCTCTTAAGGGGGGGTAGTCTTATACGGCGAGTATAAGACGAAAACCTATCTTTTAACTAAAAAATTAGGGGGTCGTCTTATACGCCCAGTTGCCTTATACGCCGGAAAATATGGTAGCTTTTTTTAAACTGTGACCATGTTTTTCTTTTTACCAAATTATTTGATCCACTGAATTAAGTGGTTGCATAAACTATGAATTAGTTGACCCAACTATTGTTCCAGGTTTTCCCCTATGCATTAATCAATATTTGCATGCTGGAGATGGTTGTGAGTCATATGGTGTTGGTTCCACTCTCAGCTTTGATTACCTTTACTCACACAAAGCTTACATGATGGCACTGTGTTCACTTTCAGTGTGAACGTGTGTCTACATGAAACTTTTCTGAGAATAGTCTTGCAGACAAGATTTCACTTGCACAAATATTCATGTCATGAAAAGCAAACAAAATGGACTGCAAATACCAATGCATAGTCATGGTTTTTCCTCTGCACACTTTTCTCACATTAATCACGATTCTTAGGCCAAGAAACAGTCATAGGGAATTCCCTACTTCCAACTGCCTTAGGTCGCCCTAACTCTGTAGTTGAGACCATGCCCCCCATTCATTGCTTCTCTAAACTGCATAAGCCCATTCTTTTCCCATCTTTCCTCAGCGGGACCACTTCTCCAAACCCCTAACTGATTCCAAAGAAAAAGCTGTATCTTGTTAAAAGGAGAGGCAAAAGTCATGAACTCTATCTGCCAAAAAACATCTCCTAGGGCAATAACATATTTATATAGTATCACAGCATTCAACTACCAGTCTCTGGGAATTTGGTGGTTTTGACAAGTACAGCTGGGGCCAGGACACAAGTGGCTGGATACAGTGGCCAGAGCAGAACTCAAGCCAAGGGTCAGAGCTGGTGACTAGGGCAAGGATCAGGAGCAAGGCAGGGAAGCGAAAAGGCAAGACCAATGTAGCAGCCAGGTAGAACCCAGTTGTGCAGACAAATTCCTGCACCTCTACTTCGGTCCAGCATGCCTCCAGTCAGGGCCCAGGAAAGCTTCAGGTTGCATGATGCACTTGATCAGTAGTGAGCAGTTAAATGGGAGCAGAGAACCAACAGTTAATTGGGAACTGTATGGGACCAGAACAGCTCTGCCCGTGTATATGAATCCTGACAAGACATATGGGACTGAGTTCCTGGAAGATAGGGTTGTTTACTCTTGATGCACAAACAACAAGGAGTCCTGTGGCACCTTATAGAATAAAAGATTTATTGGAGCATAAGCCTTCGTCGGCAAAGACCCACTTTGTCAGATAACATGCTTCTGATAAAGGGGGGGGGGGGTATTTGCCCAAGAAAGCTTATGTTCCAATAAATCTGTTAGTCTATCTATAAGGTGCCAAGGACTTCTCGTTGTTTATGCAGATTCAAACTAACATGGCTACCCCTCCAATTCTTGATGCACAGTAATTCACTGAGCAAAGTGTCAAATAGCAACAACTATGATGGTGTCTATTTAATTTACATCCAGAATTAGATTGAAAAGCCCTCCAACAAATTCATTTCACAGGGACTGCCCATGCAAAGAAACCCTAAGATACTCAACTGGAATTAGATTTTTTTTTTAATTCATTGTGACTGTGCCAGAAATGTGCATGGTGCTTTATAAGAATGGCGAGGGCTTCCCGCGCTGAAGAGCTCAGGGTTCTCTCTTAAATCTATCCACACTGGGGGAAGCTTTTAAAAATCTATAGCAGACGGATTTAGTTCCATTACCTTCACTGCTAGCTGCAACTATCTGGGCTGCGGACAGATGACAATAAACCATGAAAGAAGCCCAATTAAAACTGGTGAGACTGGGAGGCAGAGTCACAGCCTGAGCAAGCAATAAGCTTGCAGCAATATGTGCTGGCACCAGCAGTCACTGCGTGGGACCATTTGATCCAGAATCTGAGCAGCTCCTGGTGCATCCAGTCCTATTTAGAGACAAGCCAGATCTGGCATCTCTAGTGAGAAAGGTCCGTGTACTGTTTGATCAGGCTGCTAGAATCATCCATGCTACTGCATTCTTGGCATCTTCAATTCATCTCTCAGCAGCAGTAAAAGCCACTCAACAGACAGAATGATCTTCCATTGTGTGGAGGGGCAGAGCTAATCTGAGAAGTGAGATACCAGAGCAAACAGGAAGAATGGAAAGGGGAACCTGGCACAAATTTGGTCTGTGGATGAAGAGGGTTGGAAGATGATGGGATACTGAAGACAATCCGATGAAGTCTGCCTGATTGAAAGGGCTAGCTCATTGGAAGAGGGGACCCCATAGATCAGGAGGGGTCAAATGTTGCCCCACTGAAGAATAGAAAAACATTTAAATTCATGGCACAATCATAGGGAATGATCTACTTCAAGCCACCTACTATAATTCTCATGATATGAGAAAAGGCAGAGAAAGGGGGTCAACTGCACCCCCAGGGAAGCCCTCTAATTCTCTCCCTCACCCCATATTCTTCTGATTTGTCACCACACAAAGAACACTTCCTCTAACACGTCTCTCAGGGCTTGGTTCACTAGAAAATTAAGTAGACTCGCTTTGAGTGGACCGACAGCGACTGCAATAACTCAACTGGTGTCTACACTACCTTCTTTCTGCCAGCGATGAGTCTCCTCACCAGGAATGCTAGTACTAACTGAAGTGGGGGGTATTCTGGGGCACTGACCACTGCACAGACCCCAAGTTGGAGCTCACCCATGTGCCCTGGTATGACAGCCCAGAGCTGTGAGCCCAGTGTGGGACTCCATTTCGCAGGGTGGAGTGTACCAGCCTTTCTTGTAAATTTCACAGCTCCAGAGCTGAGGTCTTGCTGAGGGTGAAATTGACAAGAATGACAGCCAACAGATCATGCAAGTGTCCTCGTGCCCTAACTATGCTGATATAAAGACCTACACCTGTCATGGAAGTGAAGTTATTATGTTGGTGTAGCAAGCCCCTTACTTCAGCTGAAGCAACATTCTACACTGACGTACTTAGGTCGAGAGAAACAATCATAGTGAATTCCCCCCTTCAAGCTACCTTAGGTCTCCCTAACTCTGTAGTTGAGACCATGCCCTATTCATTGCCTCTCTCAACTACATAAGTCCATTCTTTCTCCATCTTTCCTTGGATGGGCCATCTTTCCATCCCCTAACTGATTCCATCACCGGATTCTGGCCCATTTTATCTCTTCTGTAACTTTTTTGAGTTAAGGAGACCACAACTGAACACAATATTCCAGGTGGCTGCAATCCACTGAGTGGGTATGTCTACACTGCATTCCTCTTTCAAGAGAGGAATGCAAATGCAGCTGAGCAAAATTGCAAATGAAGCACGGATTTGAATTTCCTGTGCTTAATTTGCATAATCGCATCCGGGTGCAATTTCAAAATACCCTATTTCCAAAAAAGAAACGCTGTCTAGACGCGATCACTTGGAAAGAAAACCCTTCTTTCGAAATTACCCTTATTCCTTATAAAATGACCCTTTTGAAATGTAATGGCAACCCATATTTGGATCCCGACCCATAGGTTGGGAAACCCTGAAATAGTGTAACTGCTAAGATTTCATGTAGTTACATGACTATTCAATTACCCTATATCTAACGTCTCTACCATAAATGCCTCCTGTCACACACTACTATTAAAAAACTGGACATATAGCTGGCCTATCCAAATTAGGCATCTGCCAATTCAGAAAGGGGCCTGCTTGGCTTGCCAAACCTAGCTTCCATCAGGCTGTTAGTAATTTCCTGGACAGCCTTATTTCACTCTCTAAAACAATTTTTCACTTTGGAATCTGCAATAAAGCCTGAAAACATACTCCTGTTACTAAAAGGTATAACAGTAGGAGAGCAGTCTCAGAGGGTAGCTGTATTAGTCTGGAGCTTACAGGGGTAAAACTCACTTCCAAAGTACTTCACTGGCACAACAAGGTATGGAATTGCTGTCAATGTGTTTTCTTT